CACTGGGTGGCTTCTGTCCGGGAAGGCGCTAATCCGGCGGGTGCTCCTTCTCTTTCTCTCTTTCACCGGTCGTTCTTTCCGACTTTCTCGATTCACGGATATGCTTATTGCTATGCTTGAGGCCGATGCCTGAGCCGAAGGAGAAGCGAGTCGATCTATGGATGGCCACCTGGTGAAGAATCTCGGAAATACTCGGTCTCAAGGGCAGCTTAGTGAGGTGGTGTGGTGTGGTGGTGTGGCTTTGGTCCCCGGGTTGAAATTCTTCAGTGCGAACAGACGCTGCTGTCGGTCGTCGGCGATAGACCTGCAGAGTCGTATATGCAAATAAGACTCGGGAGACTTTATCTCGAGAAACGATCGAAGGTAATGAATGCTGCTGCCAATGGCCAGCAGAAGCTCAAGATGCAAGCCCTGCAGCATCTGTTGCCAAGTCATGAACATCTTCGGAGGCCGGCGGCTGGCTATCTCTCTATATACATACACCAATGCCTTCCGACTTGCTCAGCCAACGCAGGCCAGGACACCCACGATTTCTCCTCAGGCACCACCCCCAACCAAGTTCTGGCAAAAAAGGAAGCTTTCGTCCCAGCTTGCTATTGAGCTCCTGGTTGGCCTTGCTGGTGGTCTCGTGGGCGGCCGGCGCATACGACAGCCAGCCATGCAACTAATAATTACCAGCAACTAGCAGCACCAGCAGCAGCAAGCGACACCAGCAGCATGCATGCAGGGTGAGAGCGGCGCCTGTCATGGATCTCAAAAGACCCGATTCGGGCCTACGCCGTCCGGCACTGCGGGCAGCGAATGCAACCTGCGAATCGAATCAACAGCCCGCAGTCCGGCTGTTGCTTTTTTGCCTCACTTGCGCGTCTGCAATATGTGTTACTTTTCTGGCCCTTGGTTGGATCCAAGTCATTCTGGCGCTCTCCCCCGCCTCGCCGGGTGTCACGATTCGCGGCGAGATATTGCGTGCCGCCCGGGGCAGAGGACACTCAAGTGAGGAGGGGTCGCGGTGGAGAGCTGGCCCTATGTCGGAGACGATGCCCGGAGAAGGAAGAAGCACCATCTCGCGCAGCTGCAAAACGCGGCGGGCGCATGAAATGGTCCTGGCAATAATGGCATGTGCCCTCCGGCGCTGGTTGCATCTGTGCGAGTTTTGACTGGTCGAATAGAATCGGAGGCTAGGCGAAGAATGGGGGAGCGGGATGGGATGAATGGAAGTGGATGGGATGGAGGGCACGCGAAGGGGAGGTGACCCTGAGCTCTCTGCTCTGTCAACCAAACTGCTGCGATAACGGCTGTGGTCTCGATCAGGTCCCCCCGCATCCATCCCCGGACCGTTGTCGCTATTTGAGTGGTTGGGACGGATCGAAACCCGGCATGGCCTGGCCAAATTGAGTGTCCTTCCCGTCTTTGCCGTCGAGCCAGTGGCCGTGATGAGGGGGAGGGGGCGCCGGGATCCCGGATTTGCACTTCTCGGTTTGTTGGTTTGAGAGGGATTTTGGCCAAGAGTGTGGTAGCTAATCAATCGCACTTTCTACTTTGTACCTAGCGGACGTAGAGCAGAGTGGGTAACAATTTCACAAGGCGCATCTTTTCTCTTTTTCTCAACAAACTCAACAATGAGTTGTCAATTTCCAAGTCGAACTTGTTGGTCAAGTCTGGCAAATGTCGGATAAGTCAAATCACAGCCCGCCGGTTCTCCGGCGCGACTCCGGTCAACATGCCCCGCAATCCCGGCCGCCCTGCCGTCTCACACTGCTCATTGGATGCACCCCGGATTCGCGCCACGCAGCATGACAATTGACGGCCCGGGGAGCCAGAGGCGGGATGTGTGCGGTAGCTGATTCGCCTTTTTTGTCTTTTGATGGTGAGCAGCGGGAAAGGGTGCGACGCTGACTTGTGCTGTGCCGCGTGGACGGCCCACGTACGGCATAGCTCGCATGGGAAACTTGGGTCGGCTAATGAGGCTGAAGTCAGAGCCCGGTGTAGGATTGCGGCACGGGACGTGGTTCGACTTCCCAAGTCGTCTGTTTGAGCAAGCGCGCCTGAAAATTTATGTTGGTAACCCTGCGGCTTGATGGGCGTGGGAGGAGATGGTGCGTGGTATGTAGGACGCACAGCTAAGTGATCTTTACCCAGAAGCCCTCTGAAAGGGCGGTCTACTGGAGTAATTTAAGGTCATATCGGAGTATATGGAGACTTCCTCTCAATTTTGAGCCGCTGCAGGCTTCCGCTTTTGCCTGCAAAACGACGCTTTCTTGATGCTGGTGATGGCCCAACGACGGACTGCCAGAAAATTCATTTGACAGTCTTGGTTCCGGGAATATATCCATGCCAAGAACTCATAACCGGATAATACTTATAGAAAGCTGAGAAGAGTGCTTCATTATTAGGTATGCTCATTGTCCTTGTCGTCATTAACACCATCATCGCCGTCCCTGCCATCCTTATCACCATTTTTCCCCGTTCCTGTCCTTCCAGATAACGGGTCTCTTCTCAAGTTCTCTTGATATGTCTGAGAGGTTTCAAGTTAACTGAGGATGAGTCCTCGACTTTTCTCTCCTCTCCTGTTTTTCACTATGTGATTCATACAACCCGGTGGAAGATCCCAGAGAGCGACCCAAATTGACACGTAAGTCCAAACAGACTGATCGTTCTGCTCTCTTCATATCCACACATAGAGGTCTTCCGGCTTACCCATTTGCTGTTCTTCATGCAGTTTTGAGATTTGTGTTGCGATTACATTGTTTGTCCCCTAGAGCTGTTCACCGCAGGCGTTTGAGAGGGGCAGCTGCTATTGCAGAGAGGTTGACTGTTCCAAAGAAGTAGCCTTTACGAAGCCTCTTGTTTTCCTTGAAGATACCCAGACTGTGAAGCATTTGGATGTGCTGCAATCAGGGCTCACATCGGACCAGTTCAAAAAGTTGGCAGTCCTGATTAATAGAGAAAACACACTTCCTTCAAAAAGAGACGATCTGAGAAATGGAAAGACTTTGAGGTTTGATTAAACTTGAATCTTTTGCTCCTACAATCAAAATTACTGCCTTTGTACATCACTCGGCGATTGCAGATATGTCATGTAATTAATGCAGTTCTAATCAACATGAGAAACAATTTCAGCGCGGCATATCACGGGAGGGCAACCCCAAACATTTGGCCTGTAATAAGTCGGCATTGAGTTTTTCCATGATTAAAAAGAAATAGTATGTACCCCCATGGCGGGCAGCTTTGATATCTACCTTTGGAGATTCGTGCTAGCCGGGTCCTTGATTTGAAGAGCGTTCCAACAGCAAAGGTGCGCAGTTACAGGTAAAAAAGGACACCAAGACAGTCTGCAAGGTAGGTAGTATATTTGTAGAGATTTCTTTTGAGTTACGCGTATTATTTGCCACGAGATTCGTTTTCCCTGTGTACTTTATACTACTTCATGGCAGCCTCGTTGAGAACCAACTCGCCAGGTCATCGCATAGAGAAATAAGCAGATAAAACTTTGACAACTTCTAAAGCAACCAAAGAAGACACTAAAATCGTGTACAAGAAACCACAGTGTCATTTAAGCTTTTCAAGATCACGGATAACCTCTTCGTCACCATCAGCCCACGGCGCATGGCCAACGGCACCGTGTGGAAGGTGCCACGCGGTCAATGAATCTTCCAATGACCCACCGCCACCGCAAGAAAAATCTATCAAAACAAATGTGCTCCATTCTCTCTTGCCATTCTAAACGTTTTCTGCTTTGTAAACAACACCACAAGTCGGACCACTTTCGCCCGAGTCCTCCAGCACTAGCACGACTTTATGTCATACTGTATCGCACTGTTGGCCCCATCACGAGAGAGGTCACGTTGATCCTGTCGACGGCGGTACGTATCCTATCAGTAGAAGGCTCGTGCACGCGGCTCTCGCACGTGACCGCGCTAAGAGCTCGCAACATCGCGGGCGTTGTGTCCTGTGTCGCTCTATCGTCAAAGGTCGAGTCAATCCAGTCCACGCCCACCACAGCTCAATCCTTGGATCATCTGCATCTCCGCCCGCATTCTTCAGTCCCAGTATTCATTGGCTGCCCCCAGAGATATCGTCTACAGCCACTGGAGTCTCGCGCTCAGCCGTGCCGGTATGTCATCAGCCCCCCTTCCACCCTTTCCCCGCCCAAGGTTCAAGGTCCATGGCAAGGCCTCCAGGGGGGGTCACAGGTGGCTACGAGAGCCGAGCCTTTGTCTGTCGCAACAGGCACGAGGCACGGAACCCCAGCTGCCAGCCCCTAGGTCGACCCCGTTCATGTCTTACCTGATACCTACTTCTCTCTCGCTCTCTCTGTCTCTCTTCGTCAAGCTGCCAGAACTGACAAGACATCTTTATCTTCTGCAGACTCTACCACCGCATCCAGCGCGTCGATCGCCGAACGATAGTGCCAGATATCGCCCCCCAACGTATGCTTGCTGCCCCATTGAGCCTCCCCCGACTCAGCCTGGCTCCAGAATCCCCCTCTAACCCGGCTACATCATCAGAGCGAAAAAATCCAACACACGTACACCTCACCTCACGAACCCGCAACGAGAATCGACACCGACCCCAAAACTTCTATTGACGCGGTGAATGGGCGCCTGAAGACACCACAGCTTCTGCGCTGCCGGGACTTTCCATTGTCTGAACTCGACCTTCGATGCAGCTGGACCCGGTCATCGACTCCCATGCGCAAACGCGAGCTACCCTGGCTGTCCCTCGTTTCGAATCTCACATAAGTTGCTGCTGCCCTCCCGACGTCCGCTCAGCGCTCGCATCCTGATCGAGACACCACCCCAATCCCGAATGTCAGGTAGATGGCCGATGGTACTCGCTATCTGGACCACCCTGTCGGAGACCTCTACCTCAACTCTATCATACCCAAAGAAACCACCACCAACGACGCCGCACTTCTAAATCTTCTCAGCCGCTTCGTCGCGAAAGACCAACCTCCACACCACTCTTCCAACCCGAACCCACGGGCCAATCTGCTAGGGATGTTCTCCCAGAATCACCAGCAGGGCCACAACTCCCGCATCAATGGGGCCCCCGGCGGCCGGGGCATCCCTATGCTGTACAACTACCAACAGCAACAGCAACAACACCACCAGACCCATCTCCAGCACCACCAGGCTCAACAGGCGGAACATGCCGCCCACAACGGCAATGGTGGCGTCATGGGCCACCACTCGGCCTTCACCGGCGTCATGGGGAATTCCAGCCCGTACAGCAACAACGGCTTGCAGAACGGCCAGGGCGGGGCCGCAAGGGGAGGACAAACACAGCAGATGACCGAGCATTGGGGCGAGCAGCTTCGCTTGTTCGAGGAGTCCAAGCAAGCCCACCGCGCCATGACCGAGCAGAACCAACCGCACTACTACGCCAGACTAAAGGCTTCCGAGAACCGTGGCATCGCCGGACCTTCGCCCACCTCGGGCAAGAACAATGGTGATGACGAGGCGGATGACAGGAGACGGCCGTACAGCCTGGAAGCAAAGAAGGAAAGGCAAAACTGGCACAACATGGACCTCAGTGGCCAAGGACTTCGAAACCTCGCCCCCGCCCTCTTCCGCTACCAATTCCTCCACGACCTCTTCATCGCCTCCAACCGCCTGCAGACGCTCCCTCCCGCCATCGGCCAGCTTCGCCAGCTCCGATACCTCAACGTTTCCTTCAACCAAATCAAGATCCTCCCTCCCGAGCTCGGCATGTGCACCTACCTCAACCAGCTGCTCCTCTTTGAGAACCAAATCGCGACTCTGCCCTTCGAGCTGGGCTCCCTACATCTGTTGGAAGTCCTTGGTATTGAGGGCAACCCTCTCGACCAGGACATGAAGCAGGAGATCATGGAGAAGGGCACCAAGAGCTTGATCAACCTCCTCAAGGAGCAAGCTCCAGGTAAGCATTGCTGGTGCATTTGGATATTCTTTCGCTAATTCGTGCAGTGCCGCTTCCCCCGTCCCCTCGAAAGTGCATCACTGTGCAAGAAGATGTGTCGCCTACCTTGGAAAGAGTCAGAGTTTTTAGCTGGAACGTTCTGTGCGACAAGTACGCGACGCCGCAGACATATGGATACACGCCGACGGAGGCTCTTAACTGGAACTACCGAAAGGCTTGCATTATGGAAGAGCTACGCGAGAAGGATGCCGATCTGCTGTGCTTGCAGGAAATCTCGACCGAGGCGTTCAAGGAGGAGTTCAGCCCCGACCTGGCGACGATGGACTACCGAGGTATCCACTGGCCCAAGACTCGTGCGAAGACCATGGCCGAGAAGGACGCGCAAGGAGTTGACGGTTGCGCTACGTTCTACAAAGCGAGCAAGTGGATTCTGCTCGACAAGCAAGTCATTGAGTTTGCCGCCATCGCCATCAACCGCCCGGATATGAAGAACCAGCACGATGTGTTCAACCGTGTTATGCCGAAAGACAACATCGCCGTGGTCGCATTCCTCGAGAGCCGTCTCACAGGCTCACGCATCATCCTCGTCAACGGACATTTGGCCTGGGAATCGGTTTTGGCAGACGTCAAGCTGATCCAGACTGGTATCTTGATGGAACAAATTACAAAGCTGGCCGAGAAGTACGTTCGCTGGCCGGCACTCAAGGACAAGAAGCCCATCGTATTCTCTGCTACTGCCAAGGATGGAGAGGAGCCGCCGCCGCCCGCCAAGGAACCCGGCCCCAGCCAGGAGTACCGCAACAACACCGACATCCCCTTGCTTGTCTGCGGTGATTTCAACTCAACAGAAGACAGCTCTGTCTATGAGCTCCTGTCTACCGGAAGAGTCCCGCCGAACCACACCGAACTGTCTAGCTTTCAGTACGGTAGCTTTACGCGCGACGGTATCGACCACCCCTTCAGCTTGCGGGATGCCTACGCACACCTCAAGAACACCCCCGACGAAATGCCCTTCACAAACTACACGCCCGGTTTCTCAGACGTCATTGACTACTTATGGTACTCGACCAACACGCTTGAAGTGGTGGACCTCCTCGGCCCTCCCGACGCGGAATACCTCAAGCGCGTGCCTGCCTTCCCCAACTACCACTTCCCAGCGGATCACATCCAGATCATGGCCGAGTTCGTCATCAAGGCGAGGAAGGACAAGAAGGCGCACCCGGAACCGGATTTTGGATCAGGAAGCCAGGGGCAAGGCCGGTAGACGGGGTTTTCTCTCGGTAATTTGTGCGTTCAGGGAATCTCTTGTGCCGGAGTTTAGGATTGCGATACTTGCGTTTTCGCGACTCGGAGGACTAGGCAGGGGGTGGAAGGTCTTTTTTGGGCCCGGAGGCGATGTTCACTCATTCTACAAAAAACCCAACCACACGAGAAACGGAGGGGGTCAGACCGGGGTCTTTCGTCGGCGGAAATGCATCGTCAAGGCGTGTATCGGTGGGCTGTGAATACGGCGGAGTGAAAGGGGGGCTTTTGTAGATGGAAGGGTTTACATATTCCAACCAGCTGCGTTCTCTTGCGTTATATGTTTGTTCATGCTTCTCCTGTGACTTGGTGCGATGCTACTCTTGTTGTGACGACTGACATGAACAGACTGACATGTTCACCGTTGATCCAGGATTGGGCCAGTCCTCAATATTCAATTGATCTGCTTCCCGACCGCAAACCAACTGTCAAAAGTCTGATACCCAACCTATGATGTAATCCCGCCAACCCACGCGGCACAGGTGATAAGCTTTCCACCACCTCATTCAAAATGTCCCCTCCTCGACCAGCCATGCCTGGTTAATTTTGCAATCGGACTTGCCTTTCTTCTCTTTTATCGTGCATTATCCCCGGCCGACCGCGTAGACGGCCTCCGGTGCCTCCGCCGGCCTTTCGTCTGATTAAGCACTAGTCCCCGGGGCCCACCGACCATTGGACGACGCTGTTTTTGACAGTATTGGAGTTGGCTATTTGGTTTTTCGGAGTCTTCGGTGTTTGTGAGTTTTTTTTACGAGGTGTGCATGAGCTGATTATCACGTGCGCGGTGCCGAGCACAGCATCACGTTGAGTAACGGTAGCGAAGTTCTTTGGACAATATGTACAGTCAGGACTTTTGTCTGGGATTATCTGATAATTCGGCACGGGAGGAGGATTTAGTGCTGACCTTATGGCTGATAGTTTGCGGGACGGCCGGATGGGGTTAAAGGGTTTGGGATGAACGCCATTTTCCCACGATTGGCTTCGCGAAGGATTTCAGGGAAGTCTGGGAAGATGAAATTGGTTATTTATCACCAGTCTGCAGAAGCTCGTCGATAGCTCCCGATAGCTGGGCAGTAGCTGCAGCAGCGTAGAAACAAGACTGTTCAGGTTCGGAAACAGTAAGGGCTGGCCTGTATCAGGGGTACCAGGGACTTTGGTGCGAGGGAGCGGGCATATCTTGACGACCTGTCCGGCAGAACGATCCGAGTGTCAGGGCTCGCAAGCGCTTATATCAGATTTTGCTGACGCGCGCCCGTCTCAGAGCCCCTGTTTATCAATGGTCGATTCGGAAGGATAATTGGACGATCGGCGGGGGATTTTGAATAAAAGCTGGCCACGTTTTCCACCTCATCTCTGCCTGAGTGATTCTCCCCCGCGGAAAGTTTAGTCGAGACAGACATTGGGGAATAAAAAGCAAGCACGCATACCACCGGAATCTCAGAGCTCCCACCCCCAAACACACACACCATCCCCCGAGCTTCCGGCACAAACACCCACAGAATGGCCGAAGAAACATACCTCGTCACCGGCGGCTGCGGCTTTATCGGCTCGCACATCGTCGAGAAGCTCCTGCAAAAGTACCCCTCCGCGCGCGTGGCCGTGCTCTCGCGCAACCCGACGACAAACACCTTCCCCCGCGCCACGTACCATGCCGGCGACGTCGCCTCGGCGGACGACGTGACGCGGATCGTCAACGAGGTGCGCCCGACGGTCGTCTTCCACTGTGCGGGTATGATGACGGTCGGGCGGAAGACGATGGCGGACGAGTTCGTGCGGGCGATTAATGTGGATGGCACGCGGAACGTGCTGGAGGCTGGCAAGAAGGTGGGCGTGAAGGCGTTTGTGACGACGAGCAGCGCGAGTGTGGTACAGAAGGAGATGTTTCGGGATATTGTGGCGGGGGATGAGGGGTTGGGGTTGGCGGAGGAGGGGGATGATACGTTGATTTATCCCAAGACGAAGGTGTGTGTTTGTCGCCCGTGTTACTTGAGAGAGGGGGCGAGGGGAAGTTGAGAGGTTGCTGACGATGGTGTGACAGGCTGCTTCGGATAAGATGACGCTGGAGTATGACGATCCCAAGGGCATGCGGACGTGTACCCTCCGTCCGGCGGCGGTGCACGGTGAGAGGGACAACGATATCACGCCGAATCTGATGCGCAATTACCGCCTGGGGAGGAACAAAGTCCAGCTGGGGGATAACTCGAACCTCTTCTCGACGACGTACGTGGGCAACGCGGCGGACGCGCACATCGCTGCCTCGGACAAGCTACTGACGGCGCCTGAGGGGGTTGCCGGGGAGGCCTTCTTCATCACCAACGGGCCGCCGATGAAGTTTTGGGATTTCAGCAGGACGATGTGGAAGGCTGCCGGTGATGAGACTAAGATTGAGGATGTGAAGGTCGTGAGTTTGAACATGGCGCTGGCGTACGCGTGGGCTATGGAGTGGTTTTATTGGTTCAAGGGGGAGGTGTCGCCTTTGAATCGGACGATTGTGCGGTTTGCATGTATGAGTCGGTGGTATGTTATTGATAAGGCGAAGGAGAGACTTGGATGGGAGCCTGCGGTTGGGAATGAGGAGGGGATCAGGAGGGCTGTGGTGTGGTTTTTGGAAAATGAGAAGATGGGGAAGGGGACCATGAGCAGTTAGAGTGATATAGTGGATGCATAGTTTGGGAGGCGACCACAAGAAGAACAGATCTGCTTTGAATGTGATTCAAGTTCACTTGCGGAAGAAGCCGATAGGATCATACCCGACTTACATTGAGCGGGAAAAAAGAAAGACTCAAGGTATTGCCCGTTTCCAGGCTTGTGTATACCCAGTAGTCCGTAGGAGCATTAATAGCTGCTGATCCCTCGAAACCGTCGTCTTCATTTCCTTAATTACCGTTTTCGCTGCTGTATCATAGGCTTCGTCTTCATCATCTGTGTGTCATGCTGCAGGAGAAACTTTGTTTTTGCCAGTGTTTAGTGAAAATTTAGGACTTCATACACAAGAAGACTCATAGACGATTTCTTTATAAAGAGCACGGGTTAGGTAGGCTTGCACCTTGGACAGCGAAGAATAGAATGACGGAAGCTAAGATATTAGGACTGCTCGAAGTGATTATGTCACTTTAGTCTTTAAGTCTCGCTAAACACCCAAATGAAGTGACAGTTTTGTTGAAAACTTACTTATTAACACACAAATCGCAAATCCGTATCCATTCCCATCAAATGCCACAAGACGCCAGAGACTCCTTGTGCGGAGTAGAGCTAATCAATATACACAGGGCGACGCTAAGGGATTTTTCTAACTAACGAGAAAATTTATAAAGTCTAGAATTAGGGTAAAACTGGAATTTTTACAGAGTGAGCTTTCTGGCGTCATGTGACATTTGATGGGATATCATTGACTGAGCAGAAGTCAAATATGACGTAATCTTTCTTCAGGAGCTGTCGGAGCAATGTTTTGCTGGTGTCCCGTTCACTGAAATATGTTTTCTCGTTCACCGATAAATTCAGGAGCTTTAAAAGACTATTTTCGCAGAATATCAAAACAAGAACGCGAGGGGTTCCTCCAGTCGATTGAAGACTCTTACGCCTCCGAAGCCTCTGAAGCCTCGGACCCAGATTCTGCAAAACTCACGTCAGTCGGGGACCTTCTGTATCTATACCTTCTCCTGCTCTGTCATGTCTTCAGGTTATTCATGGTCATAATGATTACCAGGTAGTTTGAGTAACTTACATAATGCCATCTCGCCTCATCATTTACTTGATTCCGGCTTTTTGATCCTGTTGAAACCAGGTTATTAGAAAGGTCGAGACTGGAGTTGGCGTCTTTGTAATTAGAGCGATGGGTGGATTCAGCGTTTTGGATGTCGCTGACATCTCCGCTTGTCAAGTCATCGTTTCCAGTGTCTGCCATGGAAGACGAACAAAAGCCAGAGCTATCACTAGAAGCTGATGTGATTGCGGCGACCTCCTGCTCGATGGATGTTTGGATTTCCGCGAGGTTCGTGGCCAGTGATCTCCTTTCGTTGTCTCCCCGTTTCTCCGTAGAATGGCCATCAGAAAAGATTCTTGAGTAGACGCGATCACGATCGGCCTTCGTGACTAAGGTTTGGAAGTGATCCCCTCCTAATAGCTTCCTCTGGATTCCTTCTACCTTTCCCAGTAGCGACAAGGCTTTGGGGAGGAGTTCACGGTCATGACGACCTTTCCTTGCCAAAATCATAGCAAGCTTCTTCATGTTATCGACCGTTTCACGATTTTCCCGGCCGAGAGATAACTCCTGGACATCGAGAAGTCGTCTGCGAATGACCATCGCCTTCCTTCGGCGACCCAGCTTTTCATAGTCTGTTGCCATGTACGACAGGGTTTTCAGAACAGCCGGGCTTTCTTCAGGTAGTACAGACTTTTGCGCTTTGAGTAGGTCTCGCCGTCTTTGCAGAACACCTTTCAGGTCACGTCGACGAAGGTCTGCCTCGCAATTGAGTAGACCATTGTGGGCGCTTGCTACGAAAGCATCATTCGGATCGTAATACTCAAGAGCAGCATCTAGAGCCTGCGTCCTCAGTTTGAGGGCATGATGGTGCTGCCCAATCTTGTCAAGTGAGCTTGCAACATTTGCCATTGATGACAAATAGGCTGACAGGTTTTCCAAACGATTGTGCTCTTCGAAATGACGCCTTCGAATGTTGAGGACATCTTCCTGCTCATGGAGAGCGGGTTGACTTCATGCACAATACTATACTGGAGACCCAAATTCACCTTAGCTTCAAGGGTGTGAGGATGAAGGTTTCCGACGGTGCGTGTCCAAATGATGACAGACCTCTTCCAAAGCTGGCAAAGTTTCTGCTGCTCCCGAAAATTCTTTGTGCAACATCTTTTTGTGACGAGAAGCTTGTCATGCGCCAGCAATGTTTCCGGATATTCAGGCCCCAAAATGTCGTTTCTCATCTGGTACACTTCATGGCGCAATTCCATTGCCTTCAGCAACCGTCCATCCCATTGGTAACTGTCGGACAAAGCTGCTTTAGAGGCAATGAAATCCAGCTTCTCGATATCGGTGCAGATCTTCTTTGATTCTGCTTGACGGTAAACTTCCTCGCGCATAATCAGGGCGCGTCGTCTATGATCGAGTCCGTGCAGAAATTCGGCGACCTTGCGTTTGGTGCGGTGTAATTTCGGATCGTTACGTTCCAGAGAAAGTTCTCGAATACTCAAACACCCCTGCGCTACTTCGAGAGCATGTTCGCGTCTCCCTACAGCCCATAAGCTGTCTGAAACATTCATCATTGCTACACATAGAGTGTTTGAATGCTCCTCCTTTGTCGACTGCCAGGCCGTAAAGACTTTTTGGCGAATGATAAGTGCCTCTGTGTGCCGGCCCAGGTGAGCTTCGCAAGTAGCGAGCTGCTCCAATAATCTTAGGTATATCCAGACGGGTCGTTCGGAACTTGAGTAGATGCCAAATACGCGTATACCCCTTTCCACTAAAGATTTTGCATCCTGATGGTGACCTGTGGCTGAATTTGCCTTTGCGAACAAAAGAAGCATAGAGAATACGGTTTCTAGCGAGAACCCATTTCTAAATTGAAACAATGACAAAGCTCGATCGGTAACGCACGTTTTGATGTGGGGGAGCATGGACCTTTGCAAGTCGAAGCCTGATGGGTTTTCGATCCAGGATAGAGGTGTTTGTGTAAGGGGCTGACCCCTAGGCTTGTTCAACGTAGAGGTGCCGTCGATTGACTATTCTAAGCTGAAGAAGGAAGAAAGGACTTTACAAGGGTAGGCACCTAACAGCGGTGAAGCAGGCCGGGTGTCAGGCCCACATTGCATAACCGAGTCAAGCATCTCGACTATGCATCGGCTATTGTTTCCTAACCCAAATATGGCTTATTTGCATCTGTTTCATGTAGTGTAGCACATCTCGATGTATCTGGCCAATTGGCCACTTAT